AACTCTTTAGCACAATGCTATAAACTGACTTGGGTTGCCCCCAGCCCCAAATTTGTATGTTGAATCCTTAAATCTCCAGTGTGACTGTATTTGGAGATAGGGCCCATAAGGAGGTAATTAAGAATTAAGAATAAATGAGAACATAAGGGTGGGGCCCTGATCCATTAGGATTAGTGTCCTAAAGGAAGAGATACTATAGTTCTCCTTCTCATTCTCCCTCTATAATTTGATTGTTATTGTCTTCTCTAGATTAACCTATCACCTATCCACTCTGATATTGTCTGTCCTATCACATATCACCGCCTCCATTTCACAAAATCACCATATTACCTCTGGGCCATGATCGTTTGGTGTGTCTGCAATGCCTGTCTCCTCCTTATGAGTCTGGTTAACTCCTACTCTTTCTTCCAAATTGAACCAAATGGGTCCGTCAACCTCCTTATGTACTTGCATGATATCTAATGACCTCATCTATCATAAAAGTTATCATGCTGCACAGCAATGACCCATTTCCTTGTCTCTTTCCTTAAAGGATTCTTAGGAAAGTGGCCACTTTTTAAGCCTCTGAATCCCTCTCTGCCTATTAAGAACATATTGAATATCTGCATATTTTAATTATAACATTTTTAGATATAAAAATAGATATAGACCAGACAATCTTCTCTGTCATTTGTCATCTGTAGCTCTTAAAAGATGATCTCTATTTCTCTTTGTATAAGTGTCCTTCTCTGTCAAATCACAACAATGATACCAGGTTGCAGATTGCTGAAAGATTCATTGTAAAACTGTTAATGATTATGGATAGTATGTAAAAAATGCTCATTGAAAGCTGGGTGGTTCCAAAAAATATCTAACCATCCTTCAATGGTCAATTCAATTGTACATGTGCAATGAAGCCTGTATAAAGATCCATAGATAAAATTGATTGTTCCCTCTCCTCTCCTTTTGCAGACTTTGTTTTTAGCTCAGTTGTAGCATTGATTAGAGTTTCCTAACATTAGAGTGACTTATACATTTATCTGCTTCATCTCCCCTGGTTATAAGACCTGGTGGGAAGGAACCGGTATTTTCAATCTGCAGTATTGGCATGTACTCTATAAGAAAGACAAATAATGAAATAGGTTCTGTGTATCGTGCTACATTGTCCCTAATAGATTTTAGATTTTTCAGAATATTCTTCACAATGTCTTTATTTTTAATTGTTATATAATTGACTTATAATGTTATATTAGTTTCAAGTATACAACATAATGATTCGACAAATGTACTTATGGTGAAATTATTACCACGGTAAGTCTAGTTAACATCCATTTCCACACGATGACAGTTTTTTTCTTGTGATGAAAATTTTTAAGATCTACTCTCTTAGCAACTTCCAATTCATCAATCATTTTTCAAATGTCAACTAGAGCTGCTCAATCTGCCCCAATCTTCCCATTTCTGAGTTATTTTGCCTTTAATTAATTGGGGTTGACCCAATTATAGGCTATAAATCCTTGCTAAGGGTTCATTTTGGTTTTAAGTGGGATTTGAACTCAAATATGAGATTGATTTTGCCAGTCTAGTCAGCAAGCAAATAAGAAAAAGCACATCCTTCTGCCTCTTCCAAGCGTCTGGCCTCCTTGTAGGGCTCCCTATTGTCTGAACCTAACAAGAAGCCAGATGGAAAAGAAGAAACGCTATCAGTGGAGTCCCCACCACAGCATTATAACACACAACATAAAGAGGTGTTAGCTGAGAGGCAACTGCCTGTTGACTGCCACACTGATAATTAATAATGAAAGTGAATGAACCTTTTATATTGCATAGTCTCGTAGCTGGTTCAATGACAATCCAATGCTTTCCATCCACGAATGAGTGAAGCTTTCATTGGTGTTGTCCCAGTTGGGGGATGTTAAACACCTGCCAATTTTCTCATCAAGCAGGTAGGGGTTTTGCTTCTAAAGAAGAGTGCATGGTCTCCAAAATGGGCTTAAGAGTTTATCTTTAAAGAAACTACTTTCAAATAAAAGAAGAAGCTAGGAATAAGGAAAGAACTCTGGAAAGTACAATTAAATCCTGGGGAGATTGGATTTCGGCTGCTTGATGGCACAAGTGGTGTGAATTCCAGCATAAGTGCCATTCCAGAATGAAAAACGACTCTTGGGCCAGAAAACTGACTGGTGCTAAAGTTTCTCTAATTAGTACAGTACTGAGTGCTGGGGGACAGTCCTGACAATGAAGCGTGTCAGTTTGATAAATGAATTACTAGCGCTATTCTGCTGACTCCCGGACACAACGCTCAAGATGGCCTCGGCTAGTAAACAGGGGTGGAAAACACATCCTCACACAGTTGCTTCATGCCCGAAAAACAAGTAATTTAGCAGAAGACCGCTGGACACAAAATTTGAACAGAGCTCAGAGCCCATCAAAACATGGATTTCATGGCTTGGCGTCTGGCTGCTAAGCAACGGATTTATGACATCAAAACAGAGTTGTAAAAGTAGGATCCTGGTGCCAACTCTGGGTAGTTCCCATTGAAAAGAAATAGCTGCGAACACATTTCTCTAGGTCTTAAGAGATCTGATTTCCCTGGGATAGGAGAGCTCAGGTCATTTCTCCTCTGGCCCAGAATGTGTTTTCCACATTCTGAAGCATTAGGTGGAGATTAACTTTGCATTTTTGAAGTACGCTCAAGTGCATGCTGCATAAGGGTCTCAGAGTATTTTTCTCAGTTCCTTAATAGCACTCTTTTAAATTAGGTGCATGTATGCATAACACACATGCTTTTCAGATATTTGGTTCTCATCCAGTTTGATGTATATACCAGAAGGCCAGCCCCAAACTAAATGGCAACTGTTTCACTAAAAGTGTGATTCTGCTTGGTGAGGAGGCCAGAGAGGGCCCATGCAAAATGCTTTCCATGTGTGGACCAAATAAGAAATAAGTGTTATTATGATACTTATGAGCAATAAGATAGACTGTTCATTTATTTCTCCCTTGCATTCATCTATTTAAAATATATACTGGTAGGTTTCAGAGCTTGGAAAATAGGAAATGTTAGCTACCCAAACTAAAACAAATCCAGAAAAAGCAACAGACATCATTTAGAATCACTGACTAGTTTTCCCTTTTCCAGGGAAGCAATTAGGAACACTGTGGGGCAGGAGGTAAGAAGTAACAGTCTTCTATTAATTTTTTAAAAAGTATGGAATGTGCATTTGCATTTAAAAAGGAAAGTGAAGCATTAAAATGACCTACTCTTTGGAGCAGTTTGCCTACAAAAGTATTTTTCCCTTTGTCTTTACAGAACTTCCTTCCATAAACTCTCTGGAGCCTCCTTCTTGGCAGCCTCTTGTGATGTAGCAAAGCAAGAAATCCAGACATGGAAAGTTGCTCAAAAAAAAAAAAAAAAAAAAAAAAAAAAAAAAAAAAAAAAAAAGAAAGAAAAGAAAGAACTTGGAAACCAAAGAAGAAAGAAATAGTTTTACAGAACTTCACACTGAAGGATGCAAAACAAATGTTCTTCCGTTTCAAAGGTGAATGTTGTGCAGAGAAATGAAAGGATGTTTCCAGGAGATCAGTTCATGAGGAGACAGATTTTCCATGGTGCGTATAGCACTGTGTCCGGCTGGGTTCTCCCTAAGCTGCTGCCCTCTGCTGTCTTTGTTTACTTGTGGTTTACATTTATGTCTACCCCAGAAACCACAAGTTTTTCTCCACTCCAAATTTATCAACACGTTTTCTTCATGCCAAGGGTACCTTAGTGAAAAAAAAAAGGGGGGGGAGGGGGGGAATTTGGTAGTGGAGCTCTGTGATTCTAAAACCTCCTGCAAGCCACCACTGAATTTCCTATCCTAGCTCTAGTTGCTCCATTTCGTCCCAAGGTTTTGCATACTCTTTCAAAGTTTCTAATCCTTCATCTACACTGGGTGGATCTCAAACACTTAAAGAATGAGCTTTAAAAGTCGCTTCTAACCAGGTGTCTGAGAGGCACAACTTAAAACTACCAGTTAGAGAAGAGTTGTGCAAATTGAGGCTCAGAGCTGAGCAAGCCAGGCTCAGAACCAGCCCAGACTTTGGTGTCTGCATGTCACATTCACATGGTGTCTGATGATTGTGCAAATAGAGATTGTGCAAATAGAACCTCTGGGCCTATAAAGATCAATGTCTTTCCCTTTCTGTAACCGTCTTCCTTAAAGGAGGAAAACATGAGAAAACATTCTGCCCCATGTCTTAACTCTGCCCAGATCTTTCCACACTGGAGCTTCAGAAACATTCATCCCAAACACAAAAAATGTAAGCTGAGTGTGACCTTTCACTGAGCAGGCAATGCTGGCGGTGCACTGGGCATCCAAGCCAAAGGCGTTACCAAGAAACCTCACAAGATTGGGTTTCTAACCAAGGAACCTCACAAAATTGGGTTTCTACATCCTCCTCATCCTCCTGCATTCCTTCCTTCCCAGGAATGAGATTCCAACAGGGTGGACATGCAAGAACCTCATCCGGAAGCCAGACTGACTAAAGAGTCCTTGCTTCGGAAGCTCTTCCCTCAACTGAATGTGGAAGAGGCTTAAGTACGAATGTATAAACATCACAAAGGAAGGTGATGGATAAAAATGACTACAATGGATGGCCCATCAAGCCCATTCCATGGAGTTGGACAAAGTTCTATTTTCCCTGATTTCCAAGACACACTTGCTTTTCCCCTTCCCCACTTAGCTATCTTCATTTCCCCCAGCATCTAGTCCCTTCTTATCCTATTGATGCATCCATGACACCATATCTTGGACTAGAGACATCCTGCCTGCCTGACTGCCTGATTGATTGATTGATTGTCTAAGCAGCTCTGGTTCTTTAAGGCTGGGGCGGCTGCTGGGGTTACCCTGAATACAGGAGCAGAGTGGGTGTCCTGCAAGAAGCAGGTCAGCATATCCAGAGGGGCAGGTGGTTTATGAAAGACGCCAGCAACCAGTATGGCTGTCCCACGCCCCGACCTCCGTCCACCCGGCTGGACCTACCTGGCGAGTGAAGAGGATGGCGGCATCGTAGTGCTCCTCGTGGTCGTCCCCCAGCTGGTTGTGCTGGTGCTGCCACTTGCAGAAGTTCTTGAGCGTGGTGGCCGCGTTCTTGCTCACCTCCAGGCTCTTGTCCTTGTCGCCCAGCACCACCACCTTCACCACGGCCAGGCGGATGTGGTTCTCGATGCTGGCGTGGCTGTACAGCCGGTTGGCGATGGAGGCCAAGGTCAGCAAGTAATGCTGCAGGCCCCGGCCGTACAGCCGCGCCATGGACGCGTCGGCCACCAGCAGCAGCTCCACCTGGCGGGCCCGGGAGATGGAGCGGCGCCGTCGCCGCCACCAGGTCTGTGGTCCCTGGTCCCCGTCCGACGGCGGAGCCGACCGGTCCAGGAGCTGCGGCGCCAGCGTCCAGCGTCGGTCCGGGCTGCTGCGCCGCGAGGGGCGCTCGAGGGGTCCCGTCGGGGACGCGGGGGTCTCGCAGCTCGCGCGCGGCGGCAGGGCCTCGAAGCTGAAGCCCTCGCGGGTGTAGGCGTGCAGGACCCGCGTGGACCCGTCTCCGTACACGCGCCCGACCTCCGCCTCGGCCCGGGGCCCGCGCAGCAGGGGCTTCAGGGTGTAGCGCGCGTGCTTGACGGCGAAGAAGCCGTCCAGGCCGCCGCAGAGGTCAAAGACGGCCAGGGACCGGGGGCTGCCGTCCACCGTGCCCCGGTAGAAGCAGTGGCCCCGGTGGCGCGCGGTGGCGCTCGGCCCGCCTCCCGAGGGCACCAAGCCAGCGGCGCCCACCGATCCATCCCGCTCCAGGTCCAGGAGGAACCTCCGGCCGCCCGCGTAGACGAGGTAGCCCACCTTGCCGCCGCCGGAGTAGATCTGGTCGATGTTCTGCACCAGCCCGCGGCTCCTGCGCTGCGGCGCCAGGGGGTGCGGGTGGCCGGGAGGCTCGGCCCGCTCCCGCGCCTCCTCCCCCTGCCGCCGGCGGGGCTGGGCGGCCGCAGCCGCTGCCGCAGCCCGAGGCTGCCCGGCTTTATCCTGGGCAGGTGCGGCGGCGGGGCCGGCGGCGAGCAGGGGCAGGCGGAGCGCGCACAGCAGCAGGGACGCCCACCTGAGCAGCATAGTGCGCTGCCCGCGGGGAGGGGCTGCGCGCGGGGACTTTATGGGTATTTGTTATTCGCTCTGGAAGGTGCCGGGGCGGGAGGGGTTGGGGGGGCACACACTCGCTTGCAAGTTGAGTCAAGTGTCCTGGGAGGGGGACCCAGCAGCAGCGCCGGCCCGTCCGTCCGGGCTGCCGTGCCAGCGTGCGAACTTTTCTTTGTTGGTTTGGAAAATGTTTGGATTCGTGCTCCGGAAAGAGGGGGGGAAAATAATAAAAAGGAGAAAAGCCGGATGGTGGAGATTCAGCAAATATGAGAAAAAGGAGGAAGGAGGGGGACCCAAATCCTCCCCAAATGCAGCCACGAAAAGTAAGGAAGGTGACGTGCGCCGCCTCCCGCCCCCGGGACCCGTGGGCAGCGGGGGCTCCACGCTCCCGAGCTCACTTTCTTGCTTATTGGGTGGCTTTCTTCGACTCGAAGGAAACCAAGAGGAAAGGAAGCAAGAAAGAGAAAAAGGCCATAAAAAATTAAAACAAAAACGCCGGGGGCGGCCTGCAGCGAGCCAGCGAAGCGGCGCGTCCGTGTCCCCTCGGATGCGGTGTCCTCCTGGCCGCGGTCATCCCCAGTCGGCCGCTGCGAGCGCCGAGAGCAGCGCGAGCGCTGTGAAGATGCGAGGAGGTGGAACAATGAATTTATAGCGGCATGCCATCCTGCAATGGCAATTTCAACAATTCGTCACTGCAAGCTGCCTCTTAAAGGGAGAGCTTCCCCCACCACTCCCACCCTTCCCGGTCCGCGCCTAATCAGATGGGGGAGGGCGGGCGGGCGAGGGGGGTGATCGAGGAAAGGGAGACCAGGAAGGAGGAAGGAACCCGGCGAGGTGGAAGGAGGGAGCAAGGACGGGGGGTGGGGGGCGGGGGGAGAGCAAGTATTTGGGTAAGAAAAACAGAAGATTTCCTTGGCCTCATTTAAAGCCACAGCAGCTCCGGATTCGTCTGATATTTCACAACGAATTGGGGTTGGCTAACCTCGGCTTACCTCATCTCCTGAAGGGGTGTTTGGTGTGTTTTGAAAGTTACTGAGACATTTCAAGTCTCTCCCTGCCTCCTTCTCTCCAGCTTTTCTTTCCTCGGGTAGGAAATTCCTGCCGAAAGTTTTTCCCCTTTGCACACCCGCGCGCTCCGGCCTCTTAAACGTTGCCACTCCATCCACCGGCAAAGGGCTTTCGGCTTCCCATGCGCCCCCCGCGTCCAGCTTCCCGTGCGCCCCCAGGTCCCGCGCGCCACTCGCCTCCTCCCAGCCGTCCCGGGACCGAATTTCTCCCCCCTCTCCCACCCCCCACCTCCCACCCCCATTCCCGGGTCTGAGGCTCCCGACAGTCGCCAGTCTCCGGGTTAGGGCTCCGGGTGACTAACTTCTCCCAGCCACCAGCAGAGGGGCCGGGCCGCCCGAGTGCCGCAGGCGCTTCCTGGCGCGTCGCTGCGCCCAGAGCGCTTCGGTGCCCCCAGCTGGGCCGCCCTCGGCCTGGGAGCTCCACGCCTTTGTGTGCGAGCCCTGGGCTCCCCCCTTTCTCAGGCGTGCTTTGCATCAGTGCCCACAATCTGTCACCTGATCCCGGACGTCTGGAGCTTCTTTTGCTTGGCTTTAAGAAGGCTGGGCCAGAAGGAGCTAACTCTTCAAGGGAATTTTGCTCATTTTTTAAACATGTGTACCCACACTTTTCTTCTTTCAGCCTAAGTGATAATAAAATGATCACTACTGCTATTGGCATTTATCTCTCCTAAAACAACTAGTTATCGCCCTAGGCTCTGACTTGCTATCATTCTCAGAAATTCCTTTCAGGAGAAAAAGAAGACTTGGTTGGGGTGGGCTGTAGGGTGATGCAGATTAGTGCTTCTTAGTACCTCAGTGGTATTGTCACTGTGCCTTGGTTGTCCCTTCTTTGTTGCTTCTGATTGTCCACTCTAATAGGAAGAAAAAAATATCCAATGACTTTGTAACCATTACCTGGTAACTGTCAGAGGGCCTACTGCAGGGGCAGGAACATCCTCCTCCCGCCATTATTCCTCACACAAATAAATGAATAAATGGGTGAAAAATGGATCCGGTATTATTAGCACACTTCTGTCTTTCCTTGTGTGTTTAACTTACAGGGATGTGGAGGTCTCAGTGGACCCCAACCTGCTGGTGGTATTCCTCGATCCTTGGTAAGCGAGCTGATCGCTTTTCACGGAGAGGATCAGGAGTCCTGGGCTGATGTGAGGTCCTCCGAGTGGGAATGAACCCCAGGATGGAATCCTGGAAGTGCCCAGCAATGGTTCCCATGGCCTGTGCCTGGTGCACCCTCTGGAGCATCTGGGTGGCATGGGAGTGAAACATGTCCTGAGTTTAGTTCACGTTTATAATTGAAGTGATCACTGAGGTGGGGGTTTACCCAACAACCCCCCAGTGGATTCTGAAATACCTCTAGAACTGGAAGGAAGTTGCTGTTGCTGAAGGCCATTGTCTTTTAATCAACCAACCCCTCAGTGTCTCCTCAGTCAGCGAGTTGCCCATGGCCAATACTACCAGTTGAATATTTTGAGGAAACAGACATTCAGGATAAGTATAGAAAGGAGAACCTAGGTTTCTGCAGGCATCTCTGTGCCGCCAATAGCCTTCAAGTGTTGTGGGTTTGTGCCTAGAGAAAGCAATGTCTCTCCTGCCAATGCCAGTGAAAAGTAGTCCAATATTTGACACTAAACACCATCTCTAAAACAATTTTAGTCATTTTAACAATTTCATCATTGTTACTCAAAGGAGCACTTTGATAGGCAGCTTAAATGACAGTGGTTTACATTTATTAATTACAACTAGAGGCCCAGTGCACAAAATTTGTGCACTCGGGGGCGGGGGGGGGTGTCCCTCAGCCCAGATTGCGAGAGGGCATAGGCCAGGCCAAGGGACCCCACCAGTGCACTATCAGGGCCAGGGAGGGCCAGCCAGGTAGGGACTGCAGGAGGGCTCCAGGGCATGTCCAGCCCATCCCGCTCAGTCCCGATTGGCCAGACCCCAGCAGCAAGCTAACCTACCAGTCGGAGCATCTGCCCCCTGGTGGTCAGTGCATGTCATAGCGAGTGGTTGAGCGGCCTTAGCATATCATTAGCATTTTACGCTTTGATTGGTTGAACAGAGGCCCAGATGATGGGACACTTAGCATATTAGGCTTTTATTATATAAGAGATTAGTTAGCATGTGAAGAAATTCTAACTGAATTGTCTTCTTAGTGAACGTTTTTCTGTTCTTTCTAAAACACTACATTTCTCACATGAATCATGTCTCTGAATTTTATGCCTAACTCTAAATTTAATTTAATAATGCATTTGTACTCATACAGATTATTTAAATGTTTAGAAATACATCAAAGAAAATGATAGAAGCAGATAGAGCTCCAAATGTGAACATCAAGAACTAAATATTTATAGAACCATATATCCACAAGGTAAGGAATTCTTCCAGTTTATAAATATAATGAGAAATTCTTACATATTCAGATAATTTCTACTTGGATTTAACTTTATTTTTTGTAAAAGTAATTTGGATACTTTATGAAGTACATTTGGCGATACTTTTAAAATATAACCCTAGTGGGTTAGGATGAACTGCTATGTTCCAAAAAGAATTCATGCCTTTCAGTCCAAGGAAGTAATTTGCACTGAATGAAAGTAGCTTGCATTTATTTATTTATTTATTTATTTATTTATTTATTTATTTGACAGTAGAACGACAAAATCTATTAGCAATCACGTTCAAGTGGACTAATGGCTAGGTTATTATTTCATTATTCCGGGTAGCAGTTTTACTTGTGCATATTTAATGAGGAATTCCCACTGGGTTTACAGAGTGTCTGATCAAACCTGAGACATAAGTTTACATTTTCCAAAAGGAAGAGAGACTTTTGCTGCCGACTGTTACAGTGGCAAGTTATCTTGGAGGTTATTTAAGGCAACTGCCTCCACTTACCAGTGAGAAACTAAGAGTAGAGACCGAAGTGCTTAAAGAGCCCACAAGTGGCCAGCTCCTCCGAACCTAAATCTCTTCCCCCCTTGATTGGTGCTCAGTCTACAACACCTCTTAAAACTTATCCGGTTCAACAAATATCCTTCGAGGGACCGTTGCAAAGTGCTCCGTGAGGGTCTCTGAAGGCGTATAAAGATGAATAAGCCATGATTAATGTTCAGAGCAGCTCATGGTTCAGAAATGGAGCCAACTTCCCAAGAGAGACTTGGTATATGAGCCGGAAGCTACAAGTATAGAGGGAAGAAAGCAAGAGAATGGCTCCTGCAGGTCCTCCAAGATTTGTGTCTCCAGTACAGCTTCACTCCACAGGATTTGTGCATCCTTGTAGGTTGTATTTTCTCAAATTTCCATTTGCCAAAGTATCATTTCCTTCCTCTCTTGCATCTATAATTTTAACGGGAAGAGTGAGGAAGTAACAGACAATAAAACATTCCCCTCCAAACAACACCTGCTCCTTACCTCCCATGTAGGAGAGTTGCAGTCTCTCAAGATCCCTACCCGTTTTTTTTTTTCTCTTCCCTAGACCTTGCAGTATTTTCAGCTCCGTGACCATCATCTTCCTCAGTGGGAGGATGGTAGAAGCTGGGAGCCGAGCACTCCACCAGGACTTGAGGCCATGCAAGCCGCCCGAGAGACCTTGGGCCAGCCTTTTCCTCCAGTGTCACTTAGCTTTGCCAATTCTAGTTTTCATAAGACTTTCCTCAAAACCACAGGTTATTTTAGGAACCTCATATAAATGCAATCAAGCAGTGTTTGTTCTGTGACTGGCTTATTTTTCACTTATAATATCTTGCAGGGCCACCATGTCATCACACACAAAATAGTCAAACTCACAGAGGCAGAGAGTAGAATGATGGTTGCCAGGGGCCAGGGCAGGGGAAGTGGGGAGTTGTTACTCAATGAGTATAAAGTTTGAGTCTTGCCAGAAGAATAAGTTGTCAAGATCTGTACAACATCGCGCCTGCAGTTAACAGCACTATATTGTACACTTCAAACACTCCTAAGAGTAGATTTTGTGTTTGGTTCTTACTACAAAACCAAACCAAACGGAACATAACACTTTGGGAATAAGAAAAGGAAATGGATGAACTATGCTAGCTTTGATAGGAATCCTGATGTTGTAAAAGGTGAAACTATATCTGAACAGTCCTTCTCTTCTTTTCCAGCCTTTTACCTCCATCTGTATCTCCTCTAATGTTCCTCAGTGGTCCAACATGCATCTTTAATATATATTGATTTCAGAGAGGAAGGGAGAGGGAGAGCGAGATAGAAACATCAATGATGAGAGAGAATCATTAATTGGCTGCCTCCTGCATGCCCCACACTGGGGACTGAGCCCACAAACGGGGCATGTGCCCTGACTGGGAATCAGACCATTGCCCCCTGGTTCATAGATCAATGCTCAACCACTAAGCCACACTGGCTGGGCCTAACGTGCATCTTGATCTTGACACACTGGTACACGCCCACAATCTCCCACACATTAGACACACCAGGCATGTCAGTATGGGTGTGCTCACACACACTCATCTAAACTCAGTTTCCCCTCTAGGCTGCACGGACGGTGAGTAGAAAGTCCTGATCAAAGCTGAGATAAAAGGAAAGGGGGTTCTACCAACTCTACCTTGCCCCTTGCAAACAAAACTTCCTTGGGACCTGCAGTGTGGACATTTTATTT